GTTTTACTTTTAATAGTATTTCTGTATTATTTATTTTACATCTCGTACACGCAATACTTTTCAGTGTTTATAAGAGGAAGTGTTAAAACTCTGTTTCTATGCAGAACACACCACTTAGAGCTCAGTTATTGTTTGTTAGTGGTGCTCAGTTATAGCAATGAGAGGAGGAATGGGATGTTTAGTTAAAGTTAAACACAAAATGTCAAAGAAAAATACACCATAACGTGCATGTGGCCCTCAGTGAAAATGAGTTTGACACCCCTGTTTTAACTCTTTTAGCTAAGTGCTAAAAACAAATTAGAATTTTTATTTCTATCACAAGAAACTGTAATCACATATACGTAGCGACTTGTTTTAACCACAATTACAAATCTACACATTTTTATGGATAGATCCAACTTCTACAGAGTACTGTTGTGCATGTTGGTAAACAACAACCTTGTTCTTCTTAGACAATTGAACAGAAGCCACAGCAGAGATGATCCTGGACCGTGGTACACACATCAGTCAGGGTGACTAATGGGACACATTCTCATAGCAGAGTGAATTTGGCTCAGACATACATTGGCCTGATGGAGAGTGACGCTATGCTGCGCCTGGGAGAACAGAGCAGCCCTAGAGTGATAATTAGTCAGGTCTCTCGTTGAGCAGGCTGCAGATTTGAACAGCAAAACTTACTTTGTTTCTTTTCTGACTCCCTTCGCTTTTCAGTCCCAAATTGGCTTCCTCCGGCTTATCCTCCCGTGCCTCTATCGGTCTTAATTAGCCACAATTCTGTTTAGCAAAATTTGACTGAATTCAATTCAATCCCGTTCCCTCTGATTTTAATTCAAGGTTTAGTTCAGACCACAAACTACCACTAATAAATAAATAAATAAATAAATAAATAAAATAAAATAAAAGGCAGCAGGAAAAAGTTTCTCTGTTTCTGTGTCTTCCCCTCTTCTCCAATTCTCTTTTTACCAGCCATGATGAGCTGCAGTGAGACTGAATTATTCAAAACTGCAGCAGCAGCACTTAAGAAGATCTCAGCAGTCAGCCAGAGACAGAAAACACTTAGTTTCTGAAAATGCATATCTCAAGCTCCTGTTTATCAGTTCATGGGGGTTGCAGAGCCCATTGTGGATCCTTTTCAATTGTTTTTCACCCAGCATGCCATCAGGGTTTATAAGCCAACTTTACTTGCATGCTTCCACTATCTTTCTAAAGAAATTGCATTATGTTTCAGTGTTTTCCCAGTAATCTTACAAATCTTTCTGACTGCTTTAGGCTGTTCTTTTATCAGAGATTATCCACCTACTAAAGGTAAACATAACTTGCATCTTATTGAGCCCAGTTGAAGGATTTTTTTTGGTTTGTTTATCTTTAGCATTTTTTAAACAAAAAGTCTTAAGAAAATATAAAACTCTTATGGTACATTTAAAATATCCCCTCATAAAACGTGAAATAATACTAATAAAAAATATTTACGTGCACACTGTTTGCTTTAAGGTTTTAATCATGCTACAAGTTACATTCAGAGATGACAAAATTAGATAAATTAGGGCCATGTGTATATAATGCACACATTTTCAACTTATCTGCTTTGTTTTTAAGAAGATTTTTGCAGAAACAGGCTCTTTATTCACAAACTAATCTGAGTGTGATGGTGAAAAGATGGAAAGAAAGATGCATCTGGATTTAATTCAAAATCTGCAGCTACTCACAGCTGCTCCACAAACTGTGCATGTTTCTGAATCAGTACAATTTGGTTAATCTTCACAAGCCTTGCCTGCACAGGGCACAAACATAAAGAGAAGCTTGGCATTGGGGCAGCTAACCACATTTCCCTCAGGATTTCTGCTGCTGACATTTGGTCTCAAGTTTTTTTTTCAATCCACTGTGATAAAATAAAAACTTGTAACGTATCGTCATGTTTGTAGTATGAATGTATTTTAAAATATAAAATTAGAGCAGATCAGGAGATACTCGCTATGTAGTCGGTTCATTCATTTCTTGTACAACACAGTTTAGCACAAACTCAATGAGAAGAAACAAGTTTCCACGGGACACTGATAAAGCAAAAATAAATTACAGCACAGGGGGACTGAATTTATTGCTTTGAATGACCCACCAATGTGGTGGACACAATAAGTTTTCATCTCCTTCTAGAGATGCTGGACCCCCATTATGGCCTTACCTCCTGACACTACATAACACAGTCCTAACTGTAAAAGGTTTACAATCACCTGGCATATTTTTCTCCTTGTGTATCGTAAAAGAGCAACTTGTCACAACATAAACAGAGTTTTTTTTTTTTAAATCATAATAAAGTGCTACTGAGGTGTCAGGCATATGTTGGCATTTATTGCATTATCGTTAATGTAACTTTGCTTTAYAATCTGAAAGTCTGAGCTGTAATAACAAAACACAAAAATAAACRAACAAAAACAACAACAACAATCAGGATCAGGACATTTAAATCTGTAAAAGTAGCCTTGGAACTAAAACTGACTGAGGAACAGCCTTCCTTATTTTTAGAACTTAAACTTAATTTGTGTCCTCAGTGATTTGCTGTCCTGATCAAACAAAGCAAGTTAAAGGCAATAAAAATATAAAAATGCCTTAGAGGGTGGATCCTTTTTCAAGACACGTTGGTGATGTGGACGTTTAAAAGCTTTTCAACTGATCAGCAGAGATGGAAACAAGACTGAAAACCTATTATGAAGACAATATTGTGGTCCTATCAATACGTGAACTCTCTGTTCCACATTGAATACAAGATCAATATCATAATTCTCCAGTGGAAGTTTTGYTACTTGTTTTTTGTTACAATTTCGTCTTTATGCTCCTTCATCTCTATAACCATAAGAAAAGACCACTTATCTTTCTGGTTCTGGTTCTATTGGATTTCTTCTCATAAAATGTGTTTTAGTCTTTATTTTATGTATTTATTTATTTATTTTTTGTGAACCATCATGTTTGTTGTTTTACTGCTGTGGTCTTCAAAGGAGACATATGCTTTATGATGTGWTATCTGGGGCCTCATGTATCAACGGTGCGTACGCACGAAAACCTTGCGTAYGTCATTATCCACGCAAAACTCCGGATGTATCAAAACTCAACTGAACGTGGAAATGTGCGCAGCCCCACGCCAAGTCCAGGGCTGGCGTACGCACGTTTCTGTGGACTTGGTTCCATTGGCGACACTTAGAGGTGACTCTGAGAAACTGTTCATGATGTGAAAATGATTATTGYTCACAGCAGACACACACGATTAACAATTATTACATCCACATGGACGCAGTTAAATAAAAGACGCKCAWAGYTGTGCCAAAAATACATTTAACAGGAACAGATTCAGSSTTASTGGAGGATATAATAAATAGTGAAACACGCARAGCTTTTATTTATAAACAGATAGAATTTTCTGATGACGAGAGGCTCATCAGMCGTTTTGMGGAAAAATCATTTTTAGTTTGRCACTGCTGGACGCAGCAAGTAGCTGCATGCGCCACGCGTGCACGTGCAGCAGCAGCGAATGAACTGGGGTTCCACAGGAGCTTTCCAGAGGGAGCTGGCAGACCCATTGGGACTGTATCAGTCCACCCAAAGCTGAATCATGACCAATGGAATCGTCTCCTCCATATGATTCTAAAGGCTGAGTTATGKTCGCGCTSTGGAGCGYGCTCACYCTCGCCRGCAGTGATGTTTCATACTTTGCGTTTACGTTGTTGTAGATTTCTCCAAAATGACACGTGGAAGTWCACTTTACAACTTGTGAAAATGCTGTAAGTAGGAGAGCAAAAGCTGGACAGACAAACAGACTGCGCACAAAGGCTGCGGCGCGCGCAGCGTTTGTGTGGACTCTCCAACATCACGTCACGTCATGTGAACTSTACTGAGGCGCAGMGACTYRTTTCTTCATATCAGCTATGAAATAAACAAAGATCTATGTTCTACCAAACATTTAAGTTCCTCTGTGTTTACAGTAATGGTAATAAACTCGTGCGCAAAGTGATGAGCCGGTTGCGCAACACAGCAGCGTGYGCACACACACCGACACACAATCACTCGATCTTTGCGTGATAAACATATTTTATTCCTATTTTTACTTAGGATTTTTTTCACACTCACTTTATATTAAATTTATTATTTTTATGACATTAGAAATCATTTCTGATGGCGCAGGGATCAAAACAAACATGTCCTTCACACATGCAGGAAGTAATTTGCATCTGTTTAACATAAGTTAATGAAGGCGTGTCAGGGGAGGTGTCTTACCTGCGCTCAGTTCCACGTTAATTGTGATTTACAAACGAAATGTGAGTGGATTCAGGTGTACGCACAGTTTGATACATCTGGATTTTTTTGTGCGTATGCCGTTTTCTGGATTTGACCGTACGTCAGGTTTCAGTAAGAAATCCACGCAAGTCTTTGTACATGAGGCCCCAGATGACTAAAATTTTGAAAGAAATCAAAATAAAGTAATATCGGTGTTTTGGGGAGTGGGTAAACTGTGTAAAGTGAAGCATGACTCATCTCTGACCAGCTCTGTTTGGTCTCATGGCCCAAATGTAACGTTTGAGTCATGTGGTGCTTTCATGTTACGATGATCTCTCAAGTGTGCCAGCAACAAGTCAGCCTTCAGCCCAGTCCAGAATAAAACTGACTCAAGTAATAAAGGTCAGAGGAAGAGATTAGTCAGCTGATCCGCATTTGTTTGGCTCAAATTGTAAAGGAACAAAGCACGCTAAAATCAGGCTGTCCTCTGATGACAGTCTTAGATGCAATTCAAATGAGTTTGATGAGTCCAATTATTTGCTGATCGGTAGGTGAGTCCAAGATAAATACCTAGTACATACCAAGAATTTACAGAGCAACAAGTCCCATCATAATACAATCCAATGCCTGTTGGTACCAGGTACACTATGTACCGGGTACATCCCCAGTACATACTGTATAATTCCCAGGTTTTTAAAAACAGATCAGAAATCAGAATGTAAATTTTGAACACTTACCACTGTAGGTGACGATGCGAACGGTGGAGTCCCCTTCTCCGAAACGTGTGATGGGGGTCAGGCGCACCTCGTAGGATTCTGGCTTGATCAGCTCGGTCAGGTTGTGCGTCATGAGCTCTCCTTTGCCGATGTTTCCCTCCTCGGTGATCTCCTGCTCCCACCAGCGTTGCAGCCCCATCTGAAAGAGAAGAACAATGTAGCTTATTAAAAATCAATGAATAGTCAATACAGGTCAACAAGAAGAATCTGAGGCTGTCACAGGCTGGGTGTGTGAGAGCRTACTGAAACAGTTTAGAGGATATTTGTCAGGATCTCTGTGTTTGGTTACATTTTGTAGGTATTTCTTTTGGTTTGAGTGATTAATGTGTAAATATCCCACTTCTATTTTCCAGGGTTTCTGTACTCCCCTGCGTTTTCTCAGGTGTGTATGTGTTCATGCATCTCTGTTTCTACTCCAGCCCCGCCCACATTCACCTGTTTTCAGTTGTTTCCCTGTCAGGTGTTTGTTATTATGGTCATTAGTGTTTCCTTTACATTCTGTGTTCTTGTGTGTTCTATTTAGTCGTGCATGGTGCTTTCCTCAGCCAGATCTGGTATCCTAAGTAGTTTTGACATCTCATCAGCTGCTTGGTTTTGCTAATAAATCAGTGTTTCCTTATCTTTGAGTGTTTTGAGTTCTGTTTGCAAACTTGGGATAAAAATTCATTCATTAGTCATGATAATATTTAATTTACATTTCTTTCTGTGAGAGATCAAAGGAAAGTATAATTTAAATATATGTTGTCCCACAGGTGTCTTTATATTTAATACTCTAATTTACCACAAGTAAATCACATACTGACTTCTCTCAAAAAATAAGACTAACCCAATCTGTTGTCATAAAAGTCAACCTCACTCAAGTTGCCCCACCGCTCCACACACACACACACACACACACACACACACACACACACACAC